TGAGAACGGGGGGCAGTACGTACATCTGTCTCACAGCCAAGTGGTGGAAGGAGACATTCAAATGCACGTAAGATATAAAATCGATCGTCTGGGTAGACTGGACAACATTCCTCGCCAGTGGCCTGGATTACACTGCCGTATTAGTCGATAATCAGTAATTGAACATGTCCAAAATGCATACATAAGGACCATAAATTCCCGTAAGAATACCAAACTTGTTGAAGAAAATGGTGATGCTAATGAGCTGAGGCAAAGCGGTCGCATGCCCTTATGGCAGTGACTGCGGCGTTAGTCTCCCACTTTGTTTTGCCAAACTGCGATCGTGCATCGGAAGGTCGGTTACGTAGTCCCGGCTGCTAGAAAACAGAGTCCTGCCAGAGGTGTACACGAGAGCCAAACGGTGGCACATTGGAGCCCAGTTAGGCGAAGATCTAGGAGCAGAGGATAAACGGCGGCATCCGAGTCCATGGTACTCTATAACGATGGCATTTCCTGACCACAGAATCACTCTAACGGTTAGTAAAAAGCTAGGCAACATTTGCAGCGCACTGCGGGTGACGCGTAGAGGCGGTAACAGAAAGGAAAAGCAGTATAGGTCGGATTTAATACACTTGAACGGCCATTGCAAATGTGGTAAACAACTGCAAGGCCTTTTAGAACTCGTCAATGATGCACATCTCATGGGAGTCATTTGTGGAGTTGAAAGTAGTTGTGATGCAGTGCAGCTCAATTAATTCACCGACTTGTCCGCGTAGAGGAGAAAATGGATTACTCGGGTAGTGGCTTCCCAAACGCAAGCCGTCGATGGTGCCCAATGCTTCTCCGGACAACAACGGCCGTCTAGTGTCTGATGGGAGTATGTAGCCAGAGGAACGAGACGGATTTAGATGAAGAAGCGAGCAGATAGATTGCCGCAGACGAAAGGAGCAGATGATTGGACGCCTAGGCATCTTCGCCTCTAAGGTGATTGGGTAATATTTGGCTGCGCTGAAGCGAGTTTGTTTGACCGAGGCAAAGGAGGGATCTCGTGAATGGAGGAGCGTCGTTAATTATGGAAGCGACCTAGTTACATACATCGAGGCTAACAGTGCGTTGATGAATAGATGGTTTTTCGAGGAAGGGTCTGGTTCTGCGACACTATTTGAGTGCTATTAAGCTGGATTCAACGTTCACCACCTGAACAACCTTACTGCTCCTTTGGCATGTCACTGTGGGCACATGGCCTGTACTCCGATGGCAGAGAAAAGGGACCCCAAGTCTGCGTGAGGATATTCTTGATAGAAGCAAGGGTGAACTAGCAAGCGGCAGGTGTGGAGGAAAACGTGTCACACTTCGAACACAGTCATACTGATCGAGAATAAGCACGACTCAACCCACAGAACACAACGAGTGACTAGGGAAGACAGCGGATTAGTTGTGAATGTGAGAATAGCAAATCCGAGCACTGAGAGACGAATCACAAATGGGCCAGACGAGAAGAAAACAGATCTCGGAGTGGGAATTAGGGGAAGGGGCTCCAAAATTTAGATGACTATATCTCGGATACAAATGTGAATGTGAAATGTCCATGTCATTTAGCACCATCGTCAATGAAAGAAGTGTCAGGGTTTTGTTACCACGTGGAAATAGTACGGCTCGATTGGCAAGGGACAAGGTGAGTGGAAATGGAGTATGATGTGGAGTCTTGCCGCATCAAACGGAACTTGGGGTAAGGCCGCCTACCGCTTTACCGAACGTATGTGAGGTCATTTGAATATGGCTTGATCATGACGAACCCACCCTAAGTTATTGGGGAGGGGGGTCATTTGGAAGCACTTGTTGTGCGAATGGATTGCGATGCTTAGTCTCAATGTGGACCGCAATTCGCGTTGAAGTGAACTTTGGTCAAATCGATCACTGGAACCATAAATAATGAAGCAGACAGGTTATGAGTTTTGTGCAACCGAAAACACCGCACTTCACAGCGCGTTTCGACCTTATTTGAGTTCATGAGATAGCGGTAAGGAGCATCGAACTTTGGAGCATTGGGATGTCAGTTGGGACCTCTACATCCTCAGCCACCGAGTCAGGACACACAACGCTTAACACAACGGTTAATGAAACCAAAAAACATTTTTAACCAAAAGCGTTCACCACAGAATGTGCGCACGTAGTCATTGTCCAAACCGAAGTACATTCATCATGCTGATTTATCGATCCAATGAATCGAGCTGACCATGTCACCTAGCACTCGGTTCCCCACCGTCGCAATCAGTGGGGGCAGACCGATACAAACTGAACAATAGGTAAAGGGGACCAAACACAAAGGTCATGTCTCGCTAAGCTAGAGAGAAAGAGTTTTGCAGACGAAGAGAACTTCCCACCAGGTAGCACGGATGTTGTAAAATAAAAGATGCGGATCTAGCTTCGTAATACATGAACAAACTTCAACAGTCAGGTGCCTGACATTAGCAAGCGCTCGACGACCTTAAGGTAGAAGTTAACATTATGGAAATACGACGCGCAAGTAACATGATAGGGCCATTTCACAATCCTCAAACACAAAACGAACAGCTTTCGTAATCTAAATCAAAAGTTTTCCCTCAGACAGCATTTCAATATATCCTGCAAATCCACAAGGGGACATTGCATGACGAAGAATGCAATAAACTGTAAGTACTGGGCACAAATGAAGTATGAAAGCCGACCGCTCACCTAAGAGCCGGTGGTCTGCCATTCGTCAAGTCTGAGAGAAAGAAGTCGCATTGGAAAGTGTTCTAACGGTTTCAGAATACAGATGTACCCGCATGTAACTATGCGGGGTGATTTTTCGGTGACAGTCAGGGTAAGATCAACGCCAAGGGATTGTAGGCGAGGTGATAGGAGGTCTGTAAATTCAGTCAACATTGACAATAAAATAGGGATGGAGTCACCAGGGAGTGAGTAAAATGTGATCATGGAACCGCGCACCACACTTCACAATCGGTATTTATTGTGGGTATGTGGGACAGTGTTATAGCATTATGAATACTGGACAAAGATTCCAAATAAGGATATAAGAGGTCGCAGCGAAACGAATAAGTGCCTCAATGAAAAAGGCATACAATGCAGCGGAGCTACGCATGCTTATGTCCACAAGACCACCGCTTAAGTGTTCATTGAAGACACGGGAGTCGAAGCGGTGCACGTCTCATTATCTATACAAATGCACGTGTAGCTGTGGAAATAGTTACGTTAAACGCACTAACCGTAATCCGGTTGCCCAGATCAGGGAACACATTCCGAAGTGGCTCCGCAAACGGATGAAACATGCGACGGTTTCACCGGGTGAATCGAATAGCAAGACTAACTTAGAAATTATAGGGCATTTTATAAACACCGGTCACCAAGTAAACCCGGATGAATCATTCACAGTCAACATGCGCAGCCTAAGTCCTCACATTCTCAAGCTTCTCGAGGCCATTCTTATTGATGGACAGCGTTCAAGGCACTGTTCAAAAACAGCTAACTTTGACGATAAGCCTTTCGTGATAGGGAGTAACGTACAATCGTAAATCAGTTGACCAACAATTGGATTCGTGTGATCTTATTTTGGTATCTTTGTTATTTGCACCTACGTGACCGATGAGGATGCATGAAATGACAGTGTCATCCCACAACATTCATGTCCTGATATACTTATTTGGGTAAAGATTGCCGAAAACTGAATCTAGACGAATCGATCTGCTAGTTTGTTATGCAGACCACATGGGGCAGAAAGAACCACATGACAATCACCTGCAGCCCTGGAAGTGGGACATCTATCATAAGGGAACAGCCAGAATGGATAGCGATCACGTGATCATAGACAAGCAAGTCGCTTGGAGAGCAAGAGACGGACACCATAACTGCGGGACAAGATAAGTGCGAAAATGTGGGCTCGCTGAACCTGTACAGTATCAGCCGGTGGACATCAAAAATGATGTCCATGAGAGTTACCGCAACAAATAACTGTAAATAAACGATGTGTATAAAACGAAGAGTATGAACATTAGTGTGTAGTAGTTGTAGGGCACATGTCTCGTAAAATTGTATTGCTGTCAACAGGATGAAATGTATGTGACACTTACCTGGAAGACAACTTCAGCTTCTTCGCGTTAAAGATGCGATATTCTTCTTCCGGCTGGAACAAAAATACGCCAAAATGCAACATTTAGGAGACCGATGGCTAGAGTGACAAAGCCTAGTGAAGGTCATCAACTATGGCTTCGATACCGCCGAGATACCAGTTTGATGGGTATATTAATGCATCAGCATAATCGGGTAAGTGCATACTTTTATTGAATATTGATCACTGGTAGATCAGGAAAATTGAACAGCAGATCAGGTAATGACGTTTGGATGGACAGTGAAGACATGATAAACCGTTGACTGACTCGACATGATGTTGACTGGCTCTTAACCGTTCTCCCACATACAGAACAGCTAAATCGTAGGGGAGAATATGATGTTGACACATACACTGAGTCACATGTGAAACCTGGGTCCATGCTTACAAGACTGGCTGGCTGTTATAAAACAATCAAACAGTTAGGTAGAGTTATGTACAGTCAAGAACTTGTTAATGTTTTTGTGAAACTCGTGTTCAAGAGTGCAGGTATGTAGTCCAGGTGACAGATGGTTCCAGTCTCTGGCTTAGCGATTAAGGAAATAATTGACAGACCCGTTGGTCCCGAACATTTTCCGTTTGTTTCGTGTGTTGTAGACTGTTGATTGCATTGATGTTATGCTGAGGTTGGAAGCATGTATATTTAAGTGCAAGATGTTGAAAAATATGACTAGATTGTTGTGCTCCATTCGCCATGCATGCGTCATGAAAATAGCTGGCAAAATATAATGGATTTCTGTATGAAAAAGTACGCGCGATTTACGTAAATCTCCATGATAAGGGAAAACATGAATCGTTTCGTTTAGACATCAAATAAATCAATTCACATTCTTCGGCGACGTTAGAGATTTGTGGAGACTGAGGCATATCCCCGGCGAAAGATGAGATTCCACGGACCATAGCACGGCAAGCAAAGTATGGAAAAAGCCATTGATTCAAAGATTGTGACATGCACTGGAGCGCAAGTTGCCATACTGAAGTTCCTGATCATTTGAAATACCCATGCTGCGAAGTATGGGAGGAAGATTAGTAATGAGGGTCCAAAAGGGAGTGAGAGGAACAGGAAGAAAAGAAAGAAAGAGGGCCAGCAGCAGCATGTTTTCGTGTAGCCCCCCATGCTGTATGTAGAAGATAAGACGATCATTGATAAACTGTGACGGCCGATGCAGGACGTGGTTAAAGTTTGACGAAATAGGCATGGGTGTAGGTGGGTTGAGATACTGCCAATGCGTACAAACCTACACAGAATGACGATTAGGGTCCACAACCAAGACCTTTGGCTCCAAAGCCTGTCCGCAAGGCAGCGATTCTGCTTTACAGAAATGTACGCCATCCCCATTCCCACCACCAACCTGTAGGATTAGAAGAATGAGTTTATCTGACCAATAACTATTGACCAACCTGGGGTAGGAGTAAGTATCAAGGGGCTCGGGGTACCAAACAGTATAGCTCAATGGGCCGAAGTGGTACCAAATAAATCCCACAACTGAGTGTTCGCTGAGCTCGGCTGGTTGACTGCAAACGTTTCGTCACCACTCGAGGTGACATCGTCAGTGCGCGTGTAATTAGCAGAGTGGCGCGTACAGACACTTCGTACGCGCCACTCTGCTAATTACACGCGCACTGACGATGTCACCTCGAGTGGTGACGAAACGTTTGCAGTCAACCAGTCGAGCTCAGCGAACACTCAGTCCACCAACTGAACAACTTGAGCTACCAACATTTGCTTCCATATCACATCACACAACGTAAAAGTCCACTTAGGCTTGGCCGGCATTTGAAGCTGCGTCATTGCCGAACAAACGCAATGAAAAAGTGTTGCCAGTGTCACATGATGGAGAGCTGATAATGAACATAGAGCCCGAGTCTGGTAGGGGTTCCGATAAGCAACAGATACCGATCGATGGAGTCTCTACACCATTTCTCGACCGTTGTCGTCTTGGGCAACAGAATTAATCTGAGGGGGCATCCAACATGAGTCTACTCAATTAATTTGAGCCGTGCGAACGCCACTTACTTGTGCAGGTGTGCGTGTATAGCCCGTCGACATAACTGTCCACGACCAACTGGACGAGGCAAGTTACGGACTTTGGTATCCGATGGCAACAACCTGCGTTGTGTACAGAGACATTGATAAGTGTCACGAAATCCTATGCTAGGTTGCAAGGGTAGTGTGTGACTGACGTAACACGGAAAAAGCAAATTGTTCATCCCTGCTACTTGGAGACGTCTGCGTTTTTGGTTGCGTCATCTCGTTACAACGCGATGGCACAGTAGCACGCTCCCCAAGTAGCAAGGATGAAGAATTTGCTGTTTCCGTGTTACGTCAGTCACACACTACCCTTGCAACATAGCACGGGATTTCGCGACACTTATCAGTGTCGCCTGTGCACAACGCAGGTTGTATCCGTCGGATACCAAAGTTCGTAACTTGCTTCGTCCAGTTGGTCGTGGACAGTTATGTCGACGGGCTATACACGCACACCTACACACCTGCACAAGTAAGTGGAGTACGTACGGCTCAAATTAATTGAGTAGACTCATGTTGGATGCCCCCTCAGATTAATTCTGTTGCCAAAGACGACAACTTGGCCGAGAAATGGTGTAGTATTTGGACCACTGCTGTCGGTCGACCGATGTTCAACAAGGTACACAGATTGAGGCATACCAGAATTAACCAGGACCGGGGACTCCAAAGAGAAACTGCTGAACTGAGGTTGTCCGCATAGCTGGAGATGGACTTGTCGGTTTGGAAGATGTGACGTTCCGCGATTGTGTGTGTAAGTCGGAACTAGGAGATAAACGCTTAACCAAGCAAGGTGAGAAAAATCAGGAATGGAGGGCAGAAAACAGAGGGATAAAAGTAAAGTTGGAAGGGGACGATGAAGGTGAAAAAGCAAGAAAGAAGCATGACGAGAAGGTCTGAGCAGTACTACTCTCACCCTGATCCAACCTGCTCGATGCAGATAGATAGAGGGCCGTTGAATATCCTCTGCGACGGCCAGAGAACCAAGTGTGTTTGAGGAGGCCATTGTAATGCGTGGACAGGATACTTTCAGCTTGTCTAGGCCTGGACAGGAGAAGGATTAGGGTTCTAAACAAAAGCCTTTGGTTCAAAAACTTAACCACAAGGCAGCGGGATTTGGGTACAAGGCTACAGGGAGTCCGCTATATAGAGTAACGGGTCACCGCCATTCCAACTCGAAATCTGGAAGATCAATAAATAGACTGAGTTTGTCTGGTTATTAACCATTGATAAATCTAGTAATAGTGATACTGAAGGTGCAAGAAGCATCACACAGCAAAGTTCAATGAATCACTGAGGCACACAGACCATCGCATCAGGATAAGGTGTGGAGGAACTTTGTCACATGTGCGTTATCCCCCTGATCACAAGCATGTTTTCGTTTTAAGTTACACGTTTGACTCTACGGCCTGTACACTGTGTATTTCCAGGAGTGTGGATTCGTGTGTTTACCTCGTACAGTGTCGCCGACACCGACTCTGCGTCCACGGCGTGCCCTTGACCGAATGATGTGAAACACTCTCCACCTGTACACATAGACAGACGTGCAACACGTCTACCCTATGAACCACGTGACCATTCATTGTACGGTCGTTTCTCTTGTACTATATCTGCCAGTCAGGAGTCCGGGTGACTGGCCCTAAACCTGCCCGCTTAAGCACACTTTGCATCTTAGATTGTTAATGATGTGGAAGATTTTTTATGCGCCAAATGTTGAGCGCTTACCAGGAGCTATTTGGTGTCGAGCTAGGACATCAACCAAGTAAAAGATTGTTTTGCATAATTACTGATTACTGGTTGGAAGCAGCAAGTAGGGTTTGCTCGGTGCAGCTGCATTTAATGTCACTCAGGGACAAAAACCCGTTATGTTGTGTTGCGCTCAATATATTTTGCGTCGGCAATGTTTGTCCAGGAACTTCATAAATTCCGACACCGACTTTGATTCAACTACGTTCTGCGGCAGGCTGTTCAATACTTTCACCACTCTGCGTTCGAAACAGAGTTGGTGAGCGGCCCGCTTAAAATCCAGGACGACAAGCTTGTACCGGTGTCCTCGTGTGCTGCTTGGTGTGCGCAGTTGAAGCAGCGGTCTCAACATGGGGTAATCACCCAGATGTAATACCCAGTGCGACATGGTGAGGGCAACCCTCAGTAGACGATAAGCTAGGGTGTACAACCCTAGTTTCTTACACCGGTCATCGTACGGCACATCTTATAAGTTGGGAATCAGCCTGGTGGCTACATGCTGCACTCGCTCAAGCTTTTCTACCTCGCCCCGAGTGATAGGACAATACGCGGGAAAGCCATACTCTAGCATTAGTCGTATTATCGAGACGAAGAGGCGAGTAACAATCTCTTCGGACCAAGTGCTGAAGCTGCGCCCCAAAGCATACGAAAGCTGTTTTGGTAAAGCCTATTCGTATTGTCCATGGACTTTAGGTCGTAGCGTGACAGTACACCGAGGTCGCGCATGAAAGGCGCGGGATGCAACGGTTGACCAACCACCGTGTAGGTTCGGCTGTGCTCACACTTACCCAGCCTCATGAATTGCAACTTGACAGGGTTGATCGGAAGGCTGACCTCTGCAGACCACGTGGAGAGGCCATCGAGGTCCTGCTGAAGTAAATCACAATCATTGGGTGTGCGGATTACTCTCCACATCTTCAAGTCATCTGCGAACAACGCACAAGGTGATTGGAGTAGCTGAAGCACATCGTTTACATGGATGAGAAACAAAATCGGCCCCAGTACAGTGCCTTGGGGCACGTTGCTGCTCGATGGATACCAGTCAGTTAAATGGTTGTCCACCTGGACCGTCCATTTTTGATTAACAAGGAAATTCCTGATCCATTGGTGCAGGGAGCCAACAACCTCGTACACCCTCAGCCTGTCGAGGAGCACTGCATGATTTACCTTGTCAAAAGCTTTACTGAAGTCAATGTAAATGACGTCGACCGATTTGCCTTGGTTCAGCTCTTGTAACCATTCG